TTTCTTTTTACCACCCTTTGGCTTTGCCATTCCAATAAATTTGAGGGAAAAAGTCTATGATATTGTCGCTGTAGTTAGAAGCACACAACACACACTCGGTTGATTGTTGTCGCATAGTATAAACATGAGGATTTGATTGTCAACGTGCGAACGACTGTTTGACATAAGCAGCAATTGAGATACGCACACCAGGAAAAGTTAAAAGTAAAAAATTTCTTCAAGCTTTTTTCATTCTAGCATTTTCTTCATTTATTGAGAATTTAATTCGGAAACATTTAGAATATTTTAAGTGTTACAATTATTGGTTTGGATATATTCAGATTGTATTGTTGGTGATTTCATCGGGTAACACTGTTTGTAGTGTTTAAGGGAAAGCAACAGCAACAGCAACAACACTTGTCAAATGACATTTAAGTCGTAAAAAAAATACAGCAAGCCGGAATTTCTGTGAAGAAATACATCATACAAAGTTCCATTTTCGTTGTGGTAGCATGTTTTCCTAGATTTTTCGTACAAAAATCATTTAAACTGTGTGACAATCGATAGCTATACATACAAAGACGCGATACAAGCAAGCTAGTTCTTCTTATAAACAGAACCAAACAGCATTAAAAAGAAACCATGGCCGATCACGACGTTTCAAAAATGAAGGTAAAAAATAATAAAGCAATTCGCCGTATCAAACATTTCATTCATCGTTGTGGTTGTTGTTGTTTTATTGTTTGTTTTCAGGTGGCAGATCTGAAGCGTGAACTTAAAAATCGTGGTTTAAATGTGACTGGCAACAAAAATGACCTGGTTGAACGTCTTCAATCGGCTCTGATTGGTAAGTTCCACTTGAATTTGGTGCAATCGTAATGGTATTTGATTTACAAATGATTTTGTTTCACAGAGGGTGATGTTTTCGATGACACTGCAATCTCGGAAGAATTGTTAGATGACAATGACGATGTATTGAACGTAAGTAGCAAAGCAAAATTGAAAGAGAAAATGAAAATTTTCGACGTTAATGAGTTTGTGTAAATCGAAATAGGATGACGAGTTGGACGAAGAGACCAAGTCATTTTTAAATTCAACAGCACAAGATGAGGATGCAATTTTGTCATCGCCAAAAGGCAGCACATCATCCAAATCACCCGAAAATCCACCAGAAAGCAGCAAATCGGCCACATCGGCTCCGGCACAAGCCAAAAAGATTGTATTAAAACGCAAATTGTTGCCGTCCGTGTCGTTAACCGAAAACGATTCACCTAAACCCACCACCGAAAATAAGGTATTGAAGCTCAGCAGCGATGGAGATAGTGATGGAAATGCCGATAAGGACAGCAATGGAAATAACGATAGTAATGTGGTCAAATTGTCCGAGCTCACAATGAAAGAACGCATGGAATTGAGAGCCAAGAAATTTGGTGCTGCTCCAACTGGTGATGCAGCAAAACTTGCTCGCGCCGAACGATTTGGTATTACGACAAACACTGCTCCGACGACCAAAACAGACAGCAAAAATGGCAGTTTGACCATCATAAAAACTGCACCAGATGTCGAATTGTTGAAGAAACGGGCCGAGCGATTTGGAGGTTCCGTGTCAAATACAATGGTCACCATTGAACAGAAAGAGAAACTTTTGAAACGACAAGAACGATTTGGCGCTGCATCAACGGCTGTTTCGGGTACAGAAAAAACAACAATGACGACAAATCCAAGCACTACACAGGCCGCTAGCGATTATGCCGAGAAAGCAAAGCTACGATTGGAACGATTCAAAACTACAGCCTAATGCATCTTGTATTATGCCCATTCTCAATCATTTTCCTTCTTTTTTTCTTTTGAAACTCACTTTTACGAACCTTAAAAATTGGCACGTGTTTATGGAGAAAATTAGGCCATTGAATCTAACTGTTAAGCGATTAATACTTTATTTTGAACGAATTAGTGACTTTCTTATTATTCTTTCTTTCTTACTTCATTACATTAGATTACTTGCCATTGTGTGCATGTAAGTTATTTACTAATAGTTCATAATTGTAATTTCCAAATTACCATCTGAAGATTGAATAAAACGATTTGAAGAGAAGCGAGAATTCGGTGTGTTTTTCCATTTTTCCATCAAATATCTGAAATCAAATACTTTTAAATCAAACACAATCGCTTGTATTTTTTTTTCTTTTTGAATAGATGGTTTCTGTATTTTATTGGTAAGAATAATTTAAGTTTAATTTTTCGATCAAAGATATACAAATTGTTTCTTGATTAGTTAACACACAGATACTAAAATGTTTTGATGCAGCCAGAAATCTACTTCCCGACAGACTGTGGGCTGCCATTGTAATACACAAGTTTTTTTTTTGTTTATATAAATACATGGAACATGTGAATATGTACATTTTTATCATTATTATAGTTAACTTTAGTAACGTTTGGCTACATTCCAAACTCTCTTTTCTTTCTACACTGCATTGGATCACTGCAAATGTATTTTTTTTGTCCGTTTTTCTATCCGCCACGCAGAGTTGGTGGCATCAGCTAAGTCAATGTGTAGTATTTCATCATGTTGACATGGTCGATAGATGAAAAAAAAAACTACAAACAATTTCTGAGAAACATAAAGCCGAGAAGATTTGAAAAATTGAATGACTTGTTGCCGCTGTTTCAACCTAATGGTTTTAAAACTAAAAAAATACAAATGAAAACTACTAAGTTTTAAGTAAAAAATGCAAATAGCTACAATAAATTAATAATATGATGTGGATCAAGATATATAAAATATATCCAATGACTTTGGCCTCCTTAATTCGGAGGCATCTACCAGAGAATTTCGAAAGGAAACATTTTACACATGTCGATCAGTTGTTTTTCACTTTAAATATTAATAGAAAAATATCGTTGCAAACCATTTTTCGTTAATGTCACATATTATGACAGAGCAATGGCTCTGCACATTGTCCGATTTCATGCAGTTTTCAATGAAATCTATTGGAAACTAGATGATACTTGTTAGGCAAATTGTTCACATAAATTTACAATTATTTTCTAGAATACTGAAGAAGATGATTTGCTTCTTTTTTTCTTGTCAACCAAATCCAGTGGCCAAAACGACCACGATTTTCACTCAGTCAGATCAATTGAGGTGTGCTGAGAATATTCAATGCTGCTTTACTCATTCCATTTCATTTAGTTTAGGTATTTGCGGCATTTTCGAGATCCACACGAACACGGAATTTTGGTTTCTTCAAACGGAAATTTATAGTCGTAGGTCAGCTCCTCACCTTGGACAATGCGGCGCAATGCAAATATGATGATGTGTTTGTGACCGAGAATATCGACGACTTTTGAATAGCAATTTGGCTGTGGAAGAAAAGAGAAAATATGATTACAACATGCTTTAAACACAATAAATCAATAGAAATTCAGCTGATGCCTTACCTCGCACGAATGATTGATGAAACGGGCCGCGTTGCCACGCATCGTTGCATCGACGACCAAATTATCATCAATTTTAAACATGTAGCATCCAATGCCTCGGCCGTCATAGTATCGTTCTCGTTTGTCGGTCAATGTTGAGCGGATTAGTTCGCCTGCGTACTCAATAACCATCTCACCTATTGAATTGATAATCAATTTTATGGAATGATGAGTAAAGTGTGAATAATGAAGTGAATCATTTGATTCTTAGTCATATAAACCAACAAATTCAGAAGTTGAAACTAATTTGAAATAAAGCATTACCTGCTTCGATGTCTCTGTTACAGAATAGACCACGACCATGAATATGTGAACGATAAACTCCAACCGAATCTTTGTACGTGTCCTTGAGCGTTCGATAACGCATTGCCATTGGCAAATTACTGCCACTTCCACGACGAACCAATGTTTCTGTTTCGATACCGTTTTGTGGCACACAAATTTGGATTGGTTGTTTGCGATGTCTGGATGCAAGCCAGCTGAACATATCGTATTCGGAGCGCCCTTTATACTTTTCACAACGAGCCGTTCCGTTGGCATTCTCCTTGATCTCCTCACAATCCGACCAATATCCCGATGATGATGTGTGCGATACTGTACTCTCAGCCCGTTTGTGGTACGTTGGTGTATATTTGGAGCAACGTTCAACACCTGGCAACTGCTCGAGCAAATACTTCAGAGCATTTGTCTTCAATCCCATCATTTGATAGCCGCACATATCAGCCAACGGACCGACTGGCAATGGTGATAATCCGTGTGCTTTGCGCGCAATTTGAACGGCTTCAAACAGCTTCTCCCAAATCTCCGTAATCGATGTTGATTTGTAGGTGAAACCATCTTGAGATTGAATTTCGTACAACAATCGTGGACCGGTCACTTTTGATGCATTCGATTCTTTGGGTGCATTTTGAATTTTAAACACTGGCGTGCTCTGAATCGTTGGCATCGTAATCGGATTCAAATTCTCCTTTTGATCTTGAACATCATCACACGTTGGCATTTCACCTTCGGTTTCGTTTGTGTTATCAGAAACCACAGCTGTGATATCATCACTAGGAACATCTACCTCTGGCAATGTGAACATATCGTCTTCTTCTTCAATGCTTGACTTATCATCATTTTCGAACTTTTCAATTATCTTCGAAATGTTCTCTTTCACCGTGTTTTCACTTTGCTTTTCCTGTTCTTCCTTTTTCAGTTTGTCGAATGCCTCTTCGGCCGAACTGCCGCGTAGGAATGTATCTTTGAATGTATCCATATCGGATGAGTTATCACTGTCATCCATTTTCTCAATTTTGAACTCATTCACCGGATCTTCGTCAATTTCCAGCGCACCAGTTCCAGTCGAATCCACCTCCATATCATTGTCCACAATTCGCAATTGATCGTCTTTCAACTTTATTTCGGGCGTGGTATTTCCACTTGAGGTTGGTAGAAAATCTTCAACTTTTGCGTTCTTCTGTTCGCCATTCGGGCTGTTTTTCAATAAGTTCGATTTGATATCGATAGGTTTCGGTTCGATAGTTTCAGTGGGCGAGCATTTCGGCAGAATAGTTTGCATTGGCAAAACACGATTCGTTGGACGAACGTTCGTATGGCTATACTGTTGGATTGGATTCACTACATTCGTTGGAATGCCTGCAAAATTGGAGGAAAAAAATATTAATTTTGTTTTGCAAGAAGAAAAAAACAAATAAAATAGCTTACCATTTACGTATGGAGCCGATGGCAGCTGAATACTACTCGATATTGGCAAAGTGATGTGAGTTTGATTGTTTATATTTGTGGTGAATTGTGCTGAAAGCGATTTTGATGTTTCGTTCACAGGTGAAGAGCTCAAATTTGATTGCGGTGATGGCAAATTGGTTGGCGATTGCTGACCAAATTGATTTTCTGTGCTAGAAATGGTTGGACTTTGCTGCATTGGCGATGAAACTGACGTGCAAATCTTTGGAACGGAACTGGTCACAATTATTTTAGTATCAGCCGATAAATTATTCTCATTTGATGGAGGTTCAGCGCTTAGGATTGGCAACGGTGATTTTGGAATCACAATTGGCTTCAGTACATCCAGTTCGGTGTTTACATTTTGCAATGCAGGTTTGGCCGTGGTAATTGTAAATGTTTGTAATGGAGTTGTGACTGAAAATGATACACTCGGCGTTGAAATACTTGGTAATGGTTTCTGTACGATTTGTGCATTTGGTGGTAGTTGTTTTTGCGATTTTGTCATGATTTTTGTTTTAACTGTGGCAGCCGCAGCCTTGCCACCACTAACAATCGGCTTTGTTGTGTTTAATTTACGTACACTTATGATCGGTGGCGCAATTTTCGGGGACATTTTCGTTTCGTTTCCAGACGATGTCGTGATCAAGGGTGATTTTGGATTGCCAAGTTCAACCTTTACTATGGTTTCCATTGGTCTAGTGGTTACAGTCACAACTTGCTTTGCATCCATTTGTGGCGCTGTCTGAATTCCATGCACAACTATTGGTGATGATTTTACCGTTGGTTTCACCCCAGTTTTCGAGCTGAGTGTTTGTTTCGGTTGACGCGGTTTAGCCACCGATTTCTGCGGCTGAACCTTTTGCAATTGGATAACTGGTTGCGGTGTGACTGTGGAAATGGGTTGTGTTTGAGCTGGTGTGGGTTGTTGGACAGTTACAGTTGTCGTTGGAGTTGCCTGTACTGGTTGTGCGCTTGCCTGACTATGGGGTTGCAAAATCGTTGAGTTTTGATTTGTTGCGAACATCGTTGCCGTTTTGTCGTCGATAATTCGCCATCCTCCGTTAGCAGTCGGTTGAATCTGTGTGGTTTGATTTGGTATCTGGGGAATGGCTTGTTGTAATAAATTGGCTGTTGTGAGTATCGGTTGCTGCGTTTGCGGTGTCATTATCGTTCCATCATTGTTCAACACAACGTAGCTCGGTTGCATATCCATGATGGGTTCAATTTTACTCGCCTGAAACACCTGCGTCGTTGTGGCCGAGAAGCTGGAATTTTGACTGAGTACACCCTGCATTGCAGTCGAAACAAATTGCTGCGATTGCATGACTGTGTTCTGAACGATCGTCTCCAAGCCATAGTAAACTGGTTGACTATTTAACAGCATACATCCACCTTGCAATGGATTTCCGACCATTTCAAATGAGGGCGTTGCACCCAAAACCATTTGCTCACTTGACATCATTCCACATTGGATTGTAGTTGCTTGCGGTTGAATCAACGTTCCAATCACTTGAGGTTGTTGTGGTTGCGTCAATTGTAACGTTCCATTCGGAAGGACTTGCAATCCGGATGCTGTGTTCGCCAACAGTAAGTTACTGTTATCGCTTTGTAGTTGAAATGTTCCCGGTATCAGTGGATTTGGTGTCAAATACTGTGTAGTTTGCAATGGTTTAACATCATTGGTTGGCATTGTGAAGTATTGCAGGCCATTATTTGAATCCGACACATACTGCAACAGATTCCCTTGATTTGCCTGAGCCACTTGTTGCACAATAATCGGTTGCGATTGAGATGGATTCGTCGTTGACTGAATCATTATATTGTTATTGTCCATTTGAGTTGTACTTGTGGGTCGGATATTCGTTACGCTCGTGTTTGTAATCTGCGCCACGGTTTTATTGTTTTCAGTTTTGATCACATTCGCCTTTTTGATTTGGATGGTTTTTTGGGCAGCGCTTGTCGTAGCGATTCGTCCTTTGGTTCGGGTCGGTGACATTTGAAGCTTGGCAATCGCCTGTTTTTTGGATGGTGAGTTTTTATCCATCTGCGGCAAGATGATGGCATTCCGGTTGAGTTGTGGCTGCGTTTGTATCGTTTTGATTGAAGCGTAATTTGAAGTCGTGATATTCTGTTGCTGTGATGGTGTTACCGTTAGCACTTGTGATGTATTTGCTGTTGAGCATGTAATAATTTGTGGCTGATACTGAATATTTTGTGATGTTACATTTTGTGCCATATTCTGAATTGGAAACTGTTGAAGTGCACTGAGCGTAAGTGGTTGCCCAAAGATTTGTGATTGTTGTGCTGTATTTGGATTGATGAACATTCCTTGCATTTGCACAGGTAACGTACCATTTTGTATCGAAGTAATCGGAAGTGATTGACCATTGTGAATTTGTACAGAATTCTGCATTGCCAGTTGATTGATGTTTGTACCACTAATGCCGAAAATCTGTTGACTTTGATTGTTCTGTTGTAAAATTGGAATATTACAATAATCCTGTCCATTCATTGATGTCAAAATCATATTTGATTGTATGGCCTGCTGTTGCTGTTGCTGAATTTCAGGTGATTTTGAAGTGGCATCCGAATCACTTTCACTCGTCGATGAAAACGGTTCACATGTGGCCAGATGCCGTTGGTAAGATTCTTGTGTGCGATATGTACAGAGGCATCGATCGCACTTCACTGGAGCATTTTGTGGTCGAATGTCAACCGCAATATCATCCATACCATCCAGTTGGGAAATTTTAAAGCGGTTTTTCGATGCTGAATTATCCGTTTGCTGCTGCTGCTGCTGCTGCCGCTGTTGTAGTTGCTCTGTCTCATTGTTCAGCTGTACAATTCGCTTTGCTGCTGTCCATGTGAATGATTTATTTTTTATCTCTTCGGTTTGTAAACACTGCCGTGTGATTTCACTGTAATTATTTGAGATTTCCTCCTTTCGTCGACCCAACGTAAGGAATAGCTTTCTGCGCTTTGGGCAAATAGTCGAATCTAATGCATTACCCCAGGAGCGTTGACCACGGTTCCCAAGGGCATTACGTGCAAACAAATCCGATTTATTACGTTTGAGATGAACTTGACCGGCTGCTGGACGTGCTGATAGCATTGCATCTTCCGCATGCATATTAATGCTCGCCCAACTGTCAACGTCGAATCCATTCTGACTGCCTTGACTCACATCGTCGTCGTCGGTGGTGTTGTCTCGCAACAGATCAGCGCCCAGTACAACTTCATTTTTGGTGTCGGTTGTAGCTGCCATGTCCTCTGGGAATATATCGAGCGTCAATAAAGCGTTGAGTACATCAGGTGGTATATCCCCAAATATAGCGTCTTGAATATCACGTGGCAAGACATCGGCATTGGTTTGAGGTTCGTCTTCATTTGTTTCTTCGTTGTGTCCATTCATCAATCTTAGAAATCGTTCTGACCGTTGAATACTATCGTTATCATCGCCGCCCAACAAACTCGAATGCCATTTTGCAATTTTCGCCAAGTCAATCTGAACTTTGTTCAAGCTGCTCGAATGATCGACGGTGAAATTGCGCCCAGCATCTGTTGCAATGTTTAAATTACTCTGAACCGATGTACGAATGGTATATTCAACAATTTTCCATGGCTCTTTCGATGACCAATACCATCGTGAGCATAGAAAATCAGCCGGTACAATTGCATCATCAAAATCGGAGAGTATATTCACAAATCTACCAAGTTGTTTCACGTGCAACGACCCAATTAAAAACTGCACTTTCTTCGGACACACTGGACGCCGTTTTTTGCGATCTAGTTCCACATAGACGGGACGAAGTACTTCAAAATTCGTTTCTACCGCAACTTTTCCATCATTCTGCTCAATATTTTTCAAATGATGCGGACAAAACACCGTTTTATCAGTCATAAATGCACAATTTGCATTTCGCGCACACGGAAAGTGATAATGTTCGCCACAATTTCGAACATTACATCCAACCGTTGCACCTTTATTTCCGCATTCACTGCATTTAATCATACGACCGCGTGAAATGGCACCGTGCACATTTTGTAGCGATCCATCGATCTCTTCAAACACTTCCGCTGACCACATGGCACAGTTGGCGTGAACCCAGGAATTCTGGCCACAATAGAGTAAACGAGATTCATTCATTGATGCACCATCACCGCATCCCTTGCAGAACATACACGTTCGGGTGTCACTGGATGGCACAGATTGATAGAAATACTCATCAATTTCGTCGGGAACATCAATCATAGGAACTTGTTGATCAATTTCGTCATTTCCCATAGACGAATGATCAAAATTACACGAGTCATACATATCTTCGACCAGTGCGTCGGTGCAGGCTTTCGTCTCATTTTGGAACCATGGAAATGCTTCACTTAGAAATTCCTTGTAGGCTGTCATCAGATCATCACATGCAATTGCATTTATCACCATATTCATATCGTAATTGAAATCGGCCAGCGAATAGTATTTGTTTGCGAGAATTTTTTGTCTGATATCTTTCAAACTTTGTGATGTATCGGGTTTTTGTGTGAGTGATGAGCTGCAATAGCATTTTTCCGCCAAAGAACTCATTTCACGCATTTGTGATGCTGCAAAATCGAATGGATCGTAGAGTTTGTCCTCAAAATCATTTTCAGGGTTTTCGCTTTGTTGTGCTTTGAGCACGCAAATGCGACACATTGACGGTTTCTTACGCGGGCTCAACTTTAACAGAGAATTGACTTGACGACTCTTGCTTAATTGTTGCACAACACTCCATAGACCGGCTTTGAATACATGCGATACCTCATCTCTCCATATTGATGCCGTTGGATTCTTTCTAGTACACTTTTTGCAGATAAATTCGATATTTTCTGGTAAAACGCTAAGTAAATTGTATTGTTCATCGGTTAAACCCTCACATTTTGCATGCACCCATTTACGACATTCACCACCGCACTCCATCATCTTGATATTGAAGTCGTTGTCTTCGTAGCATTTATTACACACCGGGCAAAAGTTGCCCCTCTGTCGAAGTTTAAAGCAATCCGAACACATTGGCGAATTTCCAACGAATTTCGAAACGTTCGTTTTGCCACAATTCTTGCATTTCAAACAACTGGCACAGATCAACGGTCGATCGGTTCCAAGTAGTCGCTTGCTGGTGCCCAGACACGTTGAATGATAGTTTTTGTGGCACTTTTGACACTTGACTTTCGAACCAGACGCCATGTTACACGAATAGCAAGTCGTGCATCGAGGACACAACCAATTCAATCGGTTCACCGGCAAATTTAACGCATTCGAATCAATGCCACTAATTATGCTGGTATCCAGTAAACTGACATTCGTGTCGTCGAGTGACACATGCTGCTTCAAGTTGTATTCACCCTCAACACAATACTGATGGTACGGTTCACAGCAGCACACACAAAATATCAATGGTTCTTGACCTAAGCTGCCGCACAGGAAGCAAACCGCTTTAATTTGTACATCTTCCGAAAAGATCAAACCGAAACCGGATTGACACACTTCGGCTGGATCATAATTCTCCCAGAAATCAATCGAAATCATGGGCGGTGAATTCTTCGTTGGTTTTTGAACCGTTGGTTTGCGAATGAATGAATTCAATTTCTTGCTGTTTATCGCAGGAATACTGTTCGATGTTGTGTTGTTCGGTCGCGTTAGTTTTCGTGTCATTGGTTTGCTGTCTTCAGTTCGTTTCAAACTCTCTACTGATGTAACACTCGCATCGTCCGATTTACCATTCTCACTGGGTGACTTTTCACTTAGCTGCTCCTTCGATGTGGACTCACTGTCATAATCATTAATGATTGGTGTTGCTGGTGGGCTCAGTCTCGTACTATCCGCACACTCATTTTGATCATTCTGTTTGTCATTTTGAGCGGAAATCATAGATGCAGGTGGATCATGGAAATCGACAATACCGTTTGGTGATTCGGGCCGTGGAGGTGTGTCCAATGTTTCAAGAATTTGATTTTCATCACCAAACGTCGCAATCGGTTGTCCCAGAACAATCGATGCACTTCGGCATACATGCTTAACTCGAGGCCCTTTCAAATCGATTCGTTGTCGTTTTCCGAGTTCAGCGCCCGCCGTTGCAGTAGTCGCTGGTGTCAAAGTGGATAGAGTTGATGGGGATGTTGATGTGATTGTTGTTGTCGTGGTTAACGTTGTGGCTGCTGCTGCCGTTGTTGCTGCTTCAACGCGGTCCTTCTTCCTCAGCCGTAGTCGAGATGTTTCCTCTTGCTCTTGAGCAGCTGCTCCATTGGCCACCGGCGCAGTTTTGCTCTTCGAAACGTTTGTCGTTTCGACTACCGTCGGCGGTGATTTCGATGTTTCTTTAACTTCAGGTGTCTTTTTGTTGAGCGCACTATTTGGAGATAGTGCTGAATTTAAGCTGCTTGCCATAATCGACGGTTTCTCCAAAATGTTCGGAACAATTTGCGGTGAACTGCCGAATTTCGAGTTATTTTCAGCGAGCGGATTACTTAATGAACTAAATGATCGGAATTCTGTATTTTCTGTGCTGTCTTTCGTCGACGATGACGGCCAAGCCGGTACGAATCGTCGGCACGATGACAGTGAGCCTCCAAAGAGATTATTCAGCCCGCTTGATTTCGGTGACAACGGATCCGCACCATTGCACTCTGGCTTAAGTTGGAACGTTGATGCAAATGTTTTAATTTCACCGTTTCGCATGCTGGGCGGCAACAATGCTTGAACTCTTGATCGAATTTCTGATGGCAACCGATAAGATTGAAGACATTTTTTCAGCAGACATGCCTGGCATCTCTTTTTTGATGCTTTAAAACTTCGTACACTGATAACACAATTTCCATCGCCCTTTTTACAATGGAACACCGTCACGGGTGCCTTTTCATCTGCCAACGACAGACGTTTCACCGTTTTCGATATGAATTTACGGCAAGATTCACAGGAACTAATCCCATATTTACGCGACTGATGTGTGATTGCTGCTGGTGTAGCACAAACCCCACAAACTATATTTGATACTGATAGAGAAAAAGAAACGAGTAAACAAACAAACCATGGCGTTAGACAAACATTCGCAAAATTGAATGGTGGTATTAAAATTTGGAGTACGTACATGGAATGGCATTTCTATTCAAGTTGCTACTCGATAAATTCGATGAAAATAAACTCTCTGCGTTGGTTGCAGCAACCATTGTTGTGTTTGTTATTGTTGAGACTGGTTGTAACACAGATGCAAATTGTAAGCGTGACTGCCGCAGTATCGACTTTGACGACGAACCAAACACCGAATCGTCATTAATCTTGGCAAATGGATTATTCTTGATGTGATCGGCAATTTTCAATACATTGTCATCATCTGTGGGATGGAATATGGAGAAATACAATATTTCGATTAAAGCAGATTGAAAGAACGTTTCTCTCATTGTATGACTTTTGTACTTACCTTCTTTTTTGTTTGCCTCCAGCGGTTCGCTTTCATTTTCCAATTTGGTGACTTTCTTCTTGCCAAAACCATTTTTGTTGCTGGTCGATTTTGAATCGTCAGTAAATCGTTTGTTTGGTTTTATGACACGGCTTGAATGTACACTGCGTTTCGGTAATTGAAAAGCAACTCCCTTTGCATTATCAACATTGTGCGTGCTGCCGCCTTCTTCATTCTTACTGTGGCTAGACCCCCCATCGCTATCTGAATCGTCAGAGTTGTCAGTATCCTGCTTTTGCTTATCATTTTCACCCTCAGCATCACTCTGATCCTCTTCATTACTTGTCACATTCGAGTCTTCTCTGTTGGTTTCCTTCGATTTCGCCCATTGCGATTTGAATGTCAATTCATCAACATAAACAGTGTTGAATTTTGGTGTTAGTCCCGCCAGTTTTGACGGTTGGAGGATGGTTGCATGTTGAATGGCACGTGTTAAGCATTCTTTCTTAATTATCGATACAGGCGGATCGAACGTTGTGTTTGGTTCCTTTTTCACAATATCGTCACTTGTCTCAAGGCCAAATTTAAAAGATACTTTTTTCTTTTTCGTCGGCTTTTTACTTGACCCATCTTCCGATACACCATTCTCATTCACATCATTTATCTGAGATTCTTTCGATTTGTTTGCCTGAAAATTTCAAGGGAAAAAATATATTCGTGTTATTTTCATATACACATCATGTTCAATTTTAAAATTTCATAGAAATTCTGTCTGCAACATTGAAGCACGACAATTTTGCTCTTCCGTTTTGAATGAATTAATTCTTTTCATTGTGTCTAACCAACCGTCTTCAGTTGCATTGAGATGCGAAAGCAAAACAGTGCTTAACAATACATAACGAGAAAAAAACACACAATTCTCGTAGTCCTTTTCAAACGATTTCCGTTGAATTGCACACATAGGTCGTTTGCACAAAAAAGAAACATTAAAATTGGTTTCTGTTTTATGTCTGACAGTTGAACGAAGCGAAACTCAATTCAAAGAAATCCTGTGAACCATAAAAACGGCACACAATAAAATGTGTGAAAAGTACGTATTACTGAGTGAGCGCAGAGAGATAGCCATTGCATTTATCGATGTAAAAAAAGTGATATTCCATGCAGAAAAGGGAGCAAATCACTTTTGACCAATGTATATTACTATATTATATTACGGCTATGGATACTGTACACACATCCGAACTGTGTGTGTGCCCAACTGCCCATGTCCATTTGCCGCAGACATAACCAAATCAATATTTGCAAAACCGTAAATGAATTAAAGCGCATAATGACAGACTTTTGATTTAACACCCATGCAATTCTTGGGGCCCGGGATTTTTTTTTTATCGCTCGCTGACTCGCTCGCTTTTGTTTTATTGCACACTCAATGCACAAGGATCAAGCATAAAATGTGCATTGTAAAGCCATAAACATAAATTGCGACCAACTTTTACAGTGGAAAATGAGCCACAGAAACTATATAATGGAAAAAAGGAGCACCCAAGTTGAAAGTGTGTGCACTCAAAATTCAGTGGATGGTTTAAATAGTTGATATACCCTTGGATTTGTGCATGCATTTCAATGAAATGCACTGAACGGCACGACGGTTCATGTTCACCGCATAAAATGTTCCTGATGGCCATCACAAGAGTTTGCATACACACAGACAAAACCCGATCCGAATGAAATCGAGGAAATGAAGTTAAGTCGAGTCGAATCGAATGGAGTCGTAAGCCAACCGATGGCAAAGGAGATGAAACGAACGAACGAACGGGCGACGAACGAAACAAGTAGTGGCAAAAAAAATGGTATGCATTTAAAAACGAAAATGCGAGAATGACAGACATGACAAAAGAAACACAACGAAAGGGAAAAAAGACGCTTGGAAGTTACACAATACAATGCAATGCAATTCACATAATATGTGCAGTGTGCAGAGTGCACCAAGTATGCAGAAACATAATGAAAGAGAAAAAGAGCCTGTCCAAGACGCAATAATTCAAAAGGTACGTAAACACACACACACACTGAGTGCAAGAGCGAGCGGACCGTTCAAGCACACGATGCATACCAATCGAAAATGAGAAACTAAGCGGAAACTTTTTCGATGATTTTGTCCAACACATTTGCTCACTACACAGCGAGCAGTAACAGCAGCAGCACTCATTCTGCTGACAGCACAGCGCGAACTACGAAATACCACGGAGAAAAAGCAAAAAAAAGACGGCCGAGAGTGTGGAACCAATGTGCAGAAAAAAAATACAAAGAGAGAGAGAGAGAGGGAGAGAAAATGTGCAGACGAAGGAGGAGGAAAAAATGCATGTACAATAAAGGACATACATACATAATTGGCATATGTGCGGTGCACAATGTATATGCTTTGTGTGTACGGTATGATTGTGCATTGAACATTGAATGTTATGTGCAGTACACATTCGGCATTCGGAGCTCTTTAAAGTGTTTAAGAGAGGTAAGCATCGTTTGTTGTTGTTGTCGTCATCGCAGTTGCTGTCGTCGCATATATGAAATCGAATTGAAAATGCAATTTTAACGCGCCAAATGTGAACCGTATGTATGCTTGAAGCATAAGAACACAGTATCGAGAGTGGTATTTTGATGGCAAACGTATTTAAAAAGAGAGGCACACAACTTAAGGAATAAAAAAAACCACTCTTGACAGCGACTAATGTATGCATGCGGCAAAGTAGCGACCAGGAACAAAAAATGCACGTACATGAACAAGACGAATAAAAAAACATGCACACACTCGACTAAGTAAAAAGAATATGCAGCAGCAGCAGCAGCAGCACAACGAATGAACGAACGAACGAACGAAAAAAGAAAACGATCAAAAACCGGCAATATTCAAACAATATACATACAAGAGGTAATACTGTCTCTGCGTGCAATCGCCACGGACATACACCTCTGAAGCAAAAGAAGGGAAAGAAATTACAACAACAACAACAATAACCACAACGATAAATTGTAGCGACAGCACCTAGAAGCGAGACAGGAGCCATGACGCAAAAAAGCGTATATTTATCGAGGGAAATAAAAGTGTTTAATTCATATTTAATACATTAATTTAGCATAGTTTATATTTCGTTCCAACGTTTAAAAGATATACACTTTTTTTTCGCTTTGCTGTTCTCGTGTGTGTTTTTTCCATTCTCTCGTCATTGATTTCGTTCACTTTTGTTTTTCTTATTCTCATTCTTGTATTCTTTTTTTCTTCTGACTTTCGTATCGTCAGTGACTTCACGCAACAATTATTCAATCTATAAAACGCGCGCACAAACAAAGCACAAAAAGTACAGAAAAAAAAATACACACGTAGAAATCAAGAGGAGCGAAGATGATGAAAAAGAATAATAATAAGAAGAAGAAGAAGAAGAATAAAAAATGAGAACTCGTTATTCTCCCCAGCTATCAAGCTATATTGAACAATGGCCGCAAAATGTAAAGGATTCACTTCACATTTGTTGTTGTTTATATTCGTATTCAAATGGAATTTCGTTCGCTCGTAATTCAATCCATGAAAACTGTTGATAATTAGCAGCGACTACGACAAATTAATTTCTTTATATAGGTATATAGAAACGACAATAGCAAAAACAAACTATGCGAAACGTGTTTAGTACTATATGTATGTACATTTAATGTATAGATGCCGGCCGTGTGGTTCGCTAAATGTGCGAAATGTACATAGAGGTAATTAAAAATATTTCGCGTGAGTTTTTTTTCCTTTCAACGTTTGGTTGCTGTCTTCGTCGTCGTCGTCGTTTTTTTTTTGTTTCTTTTTATCGTTGTTGTGCTCGTTCTCGTTCAGTCGGTGTTGTTCAAAAATGAATAATTTATAATGCGTACGATTTTATGATTGTCGGCTTGGGCGCTAGGCAAAAAAGTAAGATCGAAGCCAAAAATCCATTGACAAGTTGTTGAGACATTTTAAATGCGAATGAACGAAAATCCACCGTATTGGATTGTGTTGTGCGATTCAATTACGTCATTTCGATCTATTATCATGCCCATTAAAAGTGTATGCTTTTTTATTCATCACTGTCGAAGCAGCGCTCGCACATTATTCTTTGCCTCGTTTATTCATTAGGTATTTTCTCGAATCAGATTTAGATCGAGAATTGAGTGGAAAAGAATTAAGTTGTTGCTAGAAAAAACGAAGAAGAGTGAACGAAAGAAAATATAAAACGAGAGAATTCATTCGCACAAGTGTGACTAAAGCTGTAGGTTTTTTGTTTGTTCGTTTTTTTTTTTGGGTACGCATTAAGCCATTTCATATAGCAAATATACGAATATTATAAGAGATGTATGTAGATCTAATTGAGATTTGGATTTGTTGAACTCAAAATGTTATACATAAGAGTGAGAGAATATTTACGTTCAATTTCGCATCGAACTCAAAAACGACGTGCGCGAGCGATGGTCATACAAATACATAATCAAGCACAAAATACAACAGAAAAAAAACATGGCATTTTGTACCGAGAGACAAAAAAAAAAACCGAGAGAAAAAAATAACGTTTCAACGAAATGAAACGAATGAACGAACGAACGAGCAAGCATCTACACCACCACCAACAACAACAACAACAACAACAACCACAGAGTAGCAGCGAAAAAAGCGAATTATGATTTATTCGTTGTCGATGGTGATGCTGATGTTTTATAGTTAAAGTGCGACGGCTGCTGAGCTGATTTGCTATTGATTCGGTCGTTGTTAGCATTGCTGCTTTATTTATTTTTATTCTGTCTTTTCTTTAGTCGTTCGTTCGCGTTTTATAATTAAGTTAAATAAAAATAAAAAAAAGACGAGAAATATATATATATATTTCAAAGAGATTCCAAGCACCAACAACGCGACCAATGATCAAGCAAATAAATATTAAATGCCATATTGTATGCGCCGAAGTGAAAAAGAGAAACGAGGAAAACAAAGAGAATAAAAAAATAAACAACAACAACAACAACACCTAAACTACAGACCAAGTGAATGATTGAACACATCAGATAAATGTTATATATTGATATTGATAATATGTGTATATTTGCGCTGTGTGTACAATGTACATACACGGCCGATTATCGTCATCGTACACGAGCTGAAATAGTTAAGGCAAACGATATATTACTTTCAGGCATTTTGGCGAGTTGATGATGAGTAACATAAACGCGCGCGCGCGCTCATTTGCTCGCATGTATAATCACTTGGCTATGTACCGATCGCATCACTACAGAGATTTTTTTTTATTGACTAGACTGAATAGTCATTCTTTGAAAAATATTTATTTTTCATCGATTTTGAACGAACGAACGAGAAAAAAATGGGTCCATGTGGCAATTGAACGGTCTTGCGCAAGCACTTCTCTCTTTCGTTTCTCGAATAATTTATCGGATAATCACGGAATTGACAAAAAAACAAAATTCAATTATCTGGTTCTTGGCTACTTTGTATCATAATACCACATTATACGCATGTACGGAATGAATACGGTGAAAAGAGAGAGAGAGAGAGAGAGAAAAAGAAGATGAAGGTGATAAACTCGAATTAATAATTTACCTGAACAACATCACATTTAGCGGCTGTTGATCTTAAAGCTATATCACTATCCGGTTCGATATTATTGTTCGATTGTTGTTCGACGGCAATGTTCTGGGTTTCAGCATCGGCGTCGATGTCCGTGTTTGAATCGTTGATGGCGATGCATCCTACTGCACCAAATGAATTCGATATCGTGGTGGCTGTATTCTGACTACTACCACCGCTACTATTGTTGATGTTATTTCCATTCAAAACACTGACACGCTTTTTAGTCACTAATTTTGACGGTTTGCCTGGGAATTTTGAACGTCCCATTTTATTTTTTTCTTGTTGTTGATAATTTCAATTCGATCATTTAGTGGCTTTGCGAGCAAATTTCTCGATTATTCCAATAATAATCAGCGTCGCACGACACATAATTGCATAAGTGGCGTTGAATATTTGTCACGGCTACTTCAAACATCAAACCGAATCAAACTAAATATGCACGGCGAGAGATATAGATGGAACACACGAACGCATATTCATGAACGTTCAATTTATATATGCATATATATATAAAAATTTGATTCGATTCTCTCTCACTGTCGCGTTTAATTCTTGCCTTTTTTTCCCACAAATATTTACATCCACTCGCACACGGTATATGCGCATTTAATCGTTCAAGAACAAAATATATATATACACAAAGGGCAAACAATGGAACCGAATGTTGAATTAAAACAAACAAATGAAATTTTTCTTGATATTTTATGACTTTTAATGCCAGATAAATATTCGGATGTAACACTTTGATATTCGTCACTTTGTTGAAATTGCTGTTTCACCACAAATTTTTCATCAAATTCATCGCATTGATTTTTTTTGTGTGTGTGCAAATTGATTCCTCTTCTTTTTTTTCTCCCTTGTTGTTGTCGCTCACACTTTTTGACGAAAAAAAAAACAGTTGACCAATTTCTTTATTTCGCTCGATAGATTTGTGAATCAAGCCCAATAAAACACATACTAATTTTCAAAATGCACAGAAAAAAACGAGATGCTTCATTGACATCACATTAGCGGACAGCAGAAAATAGACACAAAACTTGATTGATTCACATTCATTTTTTTGTTGTATACACACAGCACGAGCGTATGAAAAAAGTCAACAATTTTTCATCTCTTTCACATTTTTCGAAGTGGCGTTTATACTAAAAGAATATTTGTGTGTTATATTTTTTTTCTTGGGATTTTCCTTTGATTTCCCTTATGCTTTCAACCTTATTTTTATTACATTACTACTGTTCAACATTTGTTTGTGTAACGCGTTCTCTTTTTTTTTTATTGTTGTTTGGTTTACAGAACTCACATAATAATAAATAGTAATAATCAATGTTTGCGTTTCGTTTAGTTATTCGGCCATTTTGAATTAAGAAAAATGGTGGTCAGGTTTCGTACTATATTGTACTGGATTAAATTTTTCCAATTTGCCTCTGGTGCTGGTGCTGCTGCTGCTGCTGCTGCTTGTTTTTCGTAGTGTTTCATTCACTCTTCACTCTTCTATGCTGTCTACCGCTCGCCTGCGATACATGCAATGTGTGCTTGCACATATGACAGTCGGAACGCGACTTCGGTTGGCAACAGTGATGCGCTATTTTATTTAAATTTTATCGGCATTGAATTTGTGTGGGAAATGATTTTATCAAAATATAAAATAATTTCCATGGGAAATTGCGATGGCATTCAATTTCAATTGACAAATTCTACAAATTATGCCGAAAATATTTATCAAAAGTCCAATAAAAGTGGTTTAAAGTCGAAATGAATACTAAATGCGAATGTTATTTGAAGGTTAAAGGTCAAACGTTGAATGAACTCTGAAATACCACAGTTTCCCGTTGGAAAGTAATTTTAAAAAAAATTACATGTCAATTGAAACCGCTTAATCGGTATTCTTTCAATATTTTTCAAAAAGAAAATTGCCGAATAACATTTCAAAGTACGTGAATCCATTTTCAATGGAAATCCAATGGAAATCGGATGGAAGCTGTCAAACGCGTGTGTTGAACGCACTCACAAATCAAAATCGCGAGATGATATTACAAAAATTGTGCGAGTGTAACAGCAACTTCACGTGAATTCGGCATTCAGAATAGAAACAAAATAGTCATCATGGCGTCAACGGCAAATGTTGCAAAATATTTATCCGAAGAAAAGAAGACAACCAACAAGGAATTGGCTGAAGAATGGAGCCGTCTCGAGGAGCTGTACAACGAGAAGCTATGGAATGAACTGTCCATCAGATTGAATTCATTGGTGAAGAATCCAGCACTTCAGTCCGAAGAAAGTCTGCTGCCACTCTACCACAACTTCATATCATCGTTCGAAACAAAGATCAATCCGTATGCATTGGTGGAAATGTTGTCAACAGTCGTTGGATTCATCAGCGATAAAACCGAAGCCGTACAGTTTTTGGAGAAATTGGTCGAAAAAGTGAAAGTGAGCGAAGAATCGGTATGGTTCTGTCGTGTGATGCAAGGCCAAATCTACCTGGAACATCTACAAGATTTGGATGCAACGAAAAAAATTATCGAAGAATTGAAGGAGGTGCTTGAAGAATCTGGCAATGTGACGGCTGTACACGGAAAGTATTTCCTATTGGCATCAAACTATTATCGTCGTGTGGGCAATTATACTGATTACTACCGATGTGGTTTGCAATTTTTGGGCTGTGCACTCGACGATTACCCGAAAGAAGAATGGCCACAACAAGCGTTCTTCCTCGGATTGGCCGCTCTATTGGGCGAAGGCATTTACAACATTGGTGAGCTGTTAACACATCCGATTATCGATTCGTTGAAAGGCACCGAAAACGAATGGCTCATCGCTTTGTTGCACGCATTCAATAACGGTGATATCAACAAATTCGAACAGATGAAACCACAATGGGGCCAAATCCCCGATTTGTTGGCACAAGAAGTAAAACTGCGGAAAAAGGTCGCATTACTCTGCCTGATGGAAATGACATTCGTGCGATCAGCTGACAAGCGTTCAATCCCATTCGAGGACATCGCCGAACACACAAAGTTGCCAGTCAATGAAGTGGAAATATTGATCATGACAGCTTTGGCTCAAGGTTTAGTGCGTGGCCATATCGATCAGGTTGCTGGTGTTGTCAACATGACATGGGTTCAACCACGCGTTCTCAACCGACCTCAAGTAGCGAGCATGGTCAACACCATCGAAGTTTGGATGCAATCCATTTCTGCTATGGAAAAGCTCATCGAAAACAAGGCCAACGAGATCCTCACCAACTAATTTACCTAAGCCGCGATTAGATTTCCATTAAATACAAACATCCATTTTTTTTTTCATAAAATTTACCTACTACTTTTATGTTTCAAAAAGAAGAAAATAATTACAAAACAATGGTTTAAAACACGAAAATTTGTCGTTTAATTTGTTTATTTTGTTTTCTGTTTGTTAAATGTACGATTTCTCTTCTTTTCTTTTTCTCTCTTCATCTTCACAATGCTCTTGTTCGCAAGTCAGGATGAATCATTGTTGACCTAGTCACTGTCATCTTTGTCTTTTTTGTGAGATTTCTTTTTGTCTCTTGACTTTCTCTCACGTTCACGACTTCTCGACTTGGAACGTCTACGTGACCGCTCTCGACTGCGCGATCGTTCCCTAAAACCAAACAACGAATTTATCAATTGCTGGATTTAATTGCGTCGTCATATTTGAATTGAACTACCTTCTTGATGAGCCACGATCCCTATCCGATCGATATCTTTCCCTCTCTCGGCGTCTTTCTCGGTCCGCTGCCGATTCTTCCTCACCTTGTAAAAGAAAAAAAAGAGCAATTAGCATATATATTGAAACTATTCGAATCAAGTGAACTCTAACCTCGATCTCTTTCGCGATAATCACGTTCTTTGTCTCGTGTGTCACGTGTACGCCACCCAGGAGGTGGGCCTGGATCGTTTCTTTTATCCATTTGTTGATTGTTGCGATGATCATCGTTGCCACGATTCGGTGGAATTGATGGATTAATAACTGGTGGTGGCATCATTGGCGGCATGCCCGGTGGTCCAATTCCCATACTCATATTGTGCTGTGGCGGAGGAACCATTTGAGGTGGCACATTCATCATACTCGGAGGCATCATAGCGTCTTGATGAACAAAATAATACGAATTAAATTCAATTTACATGGAAAATTTGAAGAATGGTTTGTTTATTCTTACTTGGTGGTGGCATATTTATGTTCATATGCGGTGGTGGCATCATTTGAGGGCCTGGAGTTAGTTCTTTAATACCTGAAATTTGATTCGATATCAAAACACGTACTCATTGCTTCAAAAATTAATTCAAAATCACCTGAGGGCATCCATCCTACACCAACACTAACGTTATCATTTGTCCATTGCTGTTCTTGTGTCGGTTCATAGCCATAGCTGAAGTTATCTTCCGGATAGAATGGTTCATTGCCACCCATATTGAATGGTGGTGGTGGCGGCAATGACATGTTAACATCGAATTTGCCTTTTGGTCGACTGTATTCACGACGTTCGGCAGTCATGACTTGAATCACGTTCTCCTTTGCGGGCGCTTTTGGGAGAAAACAAGGTTTACAATTAATAATCAATCACTTCAAAGCACATTTAAACATGATTATCGACATTTAGAGTAATCAAATCACTACAGCATGCGTCCACTACATCACAAAAGGCCAATCTCATAGACGAGACAGAGAAAATGTTGTACAAAACAAAATATGGAGATAGAAAAAGAAAGATGTAGTAAGTGTAATTAATGTCTGAACCTGGTGTTGCGTTGAATCCACGATTTGCAAAGTTTGGTGGTCCGCTGTGTGAGTTTGTTGATCCTGGTGCTGAATACTTACTATTTTCGGATGATGTTAACGAAGTTAACGTGCGATTTGCTGTAAATGAAAATATATCAGACGAATTTCTATGAGATTTCACTAGGCAAAAACATACGATTATTGTTGATGGGCGCATTCTGTGTTGGATTTGGACCCAATCCCGACAGACCGGCACCACTTTCGTGTCGCATACGTTTCTGTCTCTCGCAATACGCTCGCCATGTTTCTTCATTGAACCCATAGTTGAAGTAATCAGTTATGTCTGCACCGGGTTTTCGCCACGGTTTATCTTCAATTGCTTCGATGTTATATTCTACAGCCGATTGTCCACTAATCGTACCGACGCTTTCAAATTCCTCGATGCTGAATTTGCCCAAATTTGTTTTCGGTTTATCTTGACCAGTTACTGACGCTGGCACCAATAAGTTCCCACTGCGTTGTTTGATATTAAAACTTGATGCGGGTTGAATGTCACCAATCGTAACCACAATATCATCTTCATCATCATCACTGTCGTCGTCATCGTTTTCATTCTTCTCCGAAATCGAACCATTCACATCGGACGTACCGTTTACTTTTTCAGCATCGATTGAGTTATCTGCCATATAGCTATCATCCTGATTGAATTCCTACAATTGCCATTTGACGTAAATTAATCCGTATTTTATTCGAACAAACAACTCCGTTGCAAACACTTACATTCACACCATCGGGGTAATCTTCATTTCTGCTGTCTTCTGGTGCTGTTTCATTTGAAAATGCCAACGCTGATTGTTCATCTGTTATTGTTTTTTCATTTTCTATTTGTGGCTGTTCATCTGGATTCTCCTGGTTTTCATTCGAACTACCATATAACCACGAATCGTCCTCATTATTCTCTTCAGCCATTTTCACACTTATTCTTTATCTAATTAATCCGAATTATCAGTCAATTGCTAGAGTTATGCAAAACACAAAATATCAATGGTCTACGGAGATAGAAACTAGTAAACGCGGCTTTTAATTTACAACAATCCCGTAGAAAAAAACACAATTTATAAATGGCGACAAATGTCAAATCACTCTTTACTACATAGACCACTTGCAATGTTACGTTCAATGGTTTCTTTGGTTTTCTTTCCACGAAACTTGTAGGCAAATATTCGGTTTGAAGTTAATCTTGAAAAATATTTTTCGAATTTTTCAATTTTCTTCTTTTTATTTTTTTTTATTTTTCAGTGAATTCTATTAATTTTCCATTCAAAAATTGTTTACTTTCCAGTGCGACCGGTGAACGCACCCATTGTTCAAAAATGAGTATCGGCGCTGATCTGTCATTGAACGCATTGAACACACTATCAATGGCTAAACATCGTGTATTTAGCGATTTGACAAGTGGCAAGCTTCCTTTGAGTTCTTTCTTTCATCGTACCTCAAAATGGGTAAGTGCTTGTGAGCTGCTATTCCGAAATTTTATCGACGATCATCAACGAAATTTGTGAAAATCAATTGATAAAATCGGTGAAAATCAAACCAAATACATCAAATGAAACGATACTGCCAATTATTTTTGTGAAAATTCCATAAATTCGTTGAAAATAGGAAAAATTAGTTTGGCTTTCATACAAGTCAGTGTAGAAAAAAGACCGAATCGAGGTTAGCTTTTGATGATGCACATGAGTGTGATAAAAATATTCTCTAACATAATGTTGGAGTTATTTTGAGCATTGAATAAATGGTATTTGTGACCACATGAGTGAATTAGAACATTTTGCAATATTTAATCCAAATGTTGGAAATGCATAAGACATCAAAACATTCATCGTATTGATGTATTATGTGTTATTCACCGACAACATAAAGTGTGCGCCTTGGTTCGAGTTTTTTTTTATCACTGCTGGAAAGGAAAACCACTCGGAAACAAACAAACATGTGCAAGCATTTGACTAATGGGAAATTCTTTGTCGTTTTTTTAGGTATTAGCCGCGATAGCTTCCACAAAAGACGCGCCACTGGTGGCAAACGCAAGCAGCTTCGTAAGAAGCGTAAGTTTGAATTGGGCCGCCCAGCTGCCAATACAAAAGTGAGTTTGAATAAATTGTGCTTTGCCCTTTTCCCTCCCTTTTATGATGATTTTTGCGTGTCAACGGACGAATCTCTGACGATACATACCTTTACTTGAATTTCTTCAACTGACTAACCAACAAATTGGAATATATCCATTGCAAAACACGTGAAATGTGGATGAGTGGCCGATATTAATGGAGTTTTGGTTTTTTTCTTCTTTTCTTTGTGCCATGTTTCACACAGATTGGACAACAACGTGTTCACGATGTTCGTACTCGCGGTGGAAACATCAAGCAACGTGCTCTTCGTTTAGATCACGGTAACTTTGCCTGGGCATCGGAAGGTTGCACCCGCAAGACTCGTGTTATTGATGTCGTGTACAATGCATCAAACAACGAATTGGTTCGTACCAAAACTTTGGTAAAGAATGCCATCATCGTCATCGATGCCACACCATTCCGTCAATGGTATGAAGCCCATTACATTTTGCCATTGGGTCGCAAGCGTGAAACTAAACAACAGTTGGCTGAAGATCCAGTGTTGAACAAGAAACGATGCCGTTCAGTTATGGCTAAGTATCTTGCTCGCCAACGGTTTGCCAAAGTCGAAACAGCTCTTGAAGAACAATTCGGCTCAGGTCGTCTTTTGGGTAAGTTTCAAACAATACACGGCAAAAAAAAAAGAGAAATCAAAGCCATTTCATAAACTTTAAGTGATGAACAAACCTCAAGCGACCCAACTATTTTCGATTTACGTTCTCGTTCTGAGAAACAAATCATTTTGGGATATGATATTGCTGTCATAGTTACTCTGATATTTTCCCTCTTTACAATTTCAATGAAATGGTTGTCGATTTTGTGTACCAATTACGAGTTATGAATATCTCAAGCTAATTATTCGGTTTTTCATTTCCATTTCAGCCTCTATCTCTTCACGACCAGGTCAAAGCGGTCGCGCCGATGGTTACATTCTCGAAGGCAAAGAGTTGGAATTCTACATGAAGAAGATCAAATCGAAGAAAGGCAAATAGATCCAACACAATCCGCTTAATGTGTATTGCTAAGAAAAAATAAATATCCAGATTATATGGAAATTTAATACAAACCGAAAAATCCGTTTTATTCTTTTTGTTTGTTGTTGTTTAATTTTTTTTCAGCTTCAAATAAGCAAGTATCAAAGAGAATTTGAGGGAAATTGAAGGCATGTTCACCTTTCGAAAAATCAACGCTTCAATCTAACAAAATTTCAAACTGAATAGCATCAACGCATACTTGATGCAGATAGCCAAATACAAAACATATTTGCTCTTCAAATAATACAAACGGAAAATGCAGGTAAAAGCACATTATTGAAAGAATAGGTAAGTATGTACTTTACCCTGGAAGAATACCGTTGCTCTTAGTCTTCTTATTGCTGAAAAATAGAAACGTCTGAGAATGAAACACCATTTGGTTTTTTGTTTTGTTTTTTGTGTGCATTGAGTTTTCAGTGGCATTTTTTTTTTCATGTTTGTATAGTTTCTTAGTTTAATTACAATAAAAGTTAGAAATAACCAGAATTTATAAAATTGAGTGTACTCATATCCGTCTATTGTTTCGTCGTTGATTATTTCTCGCGTTGTCATTATTATTATCGAATCGACTGGGTCTCTCTCTGTCGAAGCGGCTAATTCTGTTTCCATCGCTGTCTCTATTGCGTCGCTTTGTTGCGTCGGGCTTTATATTGGGTCGATTATTGAAATCAGCTCTGCCCTGTTGCCAATTGCCTGCCGAATCTTCAAATGGTGGTGCAACGTTCAAATTCATTAGGCTCGGTGGAGCGTTGGCATTGAACATTGGCAGCATATTCCAGTTTTCAGTTGGAGGTGGATGGCTCCATGGTGATTCCGGTTCAGCAACATTGGGAACGTTTAATGTCATCAAAGATGGGATCATCGTATTTGCATCTTGACTCTTATGAATGACCTGCGCATTGTGATTCCTGATCGTTTTCGATCGCTTCTCTTTTGGTTCATTCAAATCGTTTTCATCCTCATCGTTCGAATCATCACTCCTATCAGTTGGGATCAAATCAGACAACTCTTCAACTTGACCAGAATCGATGTAGGCATTTAATGCCTCTGCTCCATCTGCTATCACTTGCTCCAATTTTGATCCAGCTGAAAAGATTTAGCCATAATAAAAACATTGAACTAGAACCGAATCGAATCGAATCGATTCGAATGGAAATGAGATTTGCGACTTACGTTTCACTTCAACCATTTTGCCGTACACAACAATAGCAGTTGGCACTGGTTTCGGCAGTAAAATTCCTCCCGTTTTATTTTCATTAATTTGATTGATAACATCCTTAATCTCCTTTGAGGCATCATCATTTGTGAGGCCAGTATCGTTCCACTGTGCCTGAAAGTTGCGTGGGATCGGTTTGCTATATGGAACTTTCTTATCTTTATCCCGTTTATTTTCAGCTAAATTGCTTGTATCCAAATCTAGACCGGGTATAAATCCTTTGTCAGCCATCAAACTTTCTGTGAAATCAATCTTGTCCTCCAATCCCATGCCAGGAATTGTGATATTATGCTCATCGATTTCACACTCCTCGAGACCCTGTAAACTAGCCGGTAGTGTGTTCAAATTGTACTTGTCTCTCATTTGATCTCCAGGACGATTTCGAGTCCAGAATTTAATCGTGTGATCGTTTGATCCCGAGCATAGAATGTGACCGAGTGGATGCCACGCTAGTGTCCAAACAATACTGTCATGGGCCATATCGATTGATCCAACTTCTTTGTCTGTGCCAACATTCCAGAACAAAATTGAACCGTCTGACCCGCCCGAACTGAATAAACCCTCATGAGTTGGATGCCACGAAACAGCACTCGCCTCTTTCTTATGGCCACGAAACACTTGCACCTCCTCACGTAAGTTCCGTAAATCAAACAGTTTTAGCAAATGATCACGTGACGCTGTAACCAACCAATTGCCGTTGTCATTCCATTTCAAATCCATCACTGTGGATTTGTGAGCGTGTCTAATGGAAGATATTTATGATAAGCTATCGGAAAACGGAATTTACATTTCGATCGATTTGTGTGTTACTCACAATGTAGCCAGAGCCTGTCCACTTTTTGGATCCCACAATTTAATCGGCTGTTGATTGTCTTTACTTCCCGATACAATGAGCGCTTTTTGTGGATGCCAATGAACACATTTCACATCAGCACCATGACCTCGAAGCACACGCTCTTCTTGGCATCGCAAAAAATCCCACACACGCAACGTACCATCATCACTGCACGTAGCAAATTTATTATCGGATGGACTAAAACTGTGATTGGAATCGAAAATGCGATTGAATTCATTGTACTCTCACCAAAAAAAAAATGTGACTGATTGCTGTAGTTATTCTTACCTAATTCCCCGAACGGGTTCTTTATGAGCTTGAAACATTCGCACGTTGTTCATATTCGATTGCCAATACTTGACATAGCCTGCATGATCGCCAGTAACCATCCAGTTGTCATTGTGTGACCAAACCATCGTTCGAACTGGTACATCGTGTGCCTAAATTAAATCCAAAATGCTTGAATTAGCCAAAATATATGCTCCGAATGTGAATCGAACAAATGCTTTACCTGTAAAATCGTTTCAAAATTAAATGTTAGCCCGTTCCAAAGTGTGAATTCTCCGGAGCTAGCACCAGTTACGAGTCTTCTGCCTTCTGGTGTCCATGCTAATGTGAATATTGGGCAACGCATCTTGTTCGTAGCCGTTTTTACGAATCTTGTGGTCACTGCATTGATCGGATTATCCATGTAACTCGGTGGCGGAAGCATTTCGGATACATAAATGCTCTCTGGTTGCAGGGCACGACGATCACGATAGTCACGTTGCCATATTCGATTCTAAAAAAAAGAAAATCCAAACTCATTCCACGACTCATGTATTCAACCATATTTTCAAAATCACTAACCTCCAACTCTCGCACAATTGATGAATTGTAGTCGACTGTTTTTCGCATAACACTTTTCCTTAATCGTTTGCCATCGAAATCATCTTGGCTCATGTTGTTCGGGCCACGAAAGTTGTTATACGATCGGAAATGTGAACTTTTCCCAGAGAATCCTCCATGATAATGACGTTCACGCTGATAATTTTGATAATGTGGTGCAGACGGCGATTGATTGGGTTGTGATGGTGATGTATGCATCTGTTGCTGTTGCACAGACGGTGGAGGCACACTGAAATTTGTGGCTGGCGGTGGCTGCAGAAACTCGGTCATCTTCTACTTCGGTTTAAATTACAGTGCGACAAGAAAAAGTTATGAAACTTTTTTTTAGAAAAATGTATGAAAATCTATTTCTATCGTTGAATTCAACAATGATTCCTCAGGTCCATGACTTTGTAGAGATATTTGGTTCGATTACACAGCAGTTTTTCCGTCTTTCCAAATGGACCAAGCGACTAATGTTGCTTTCGTAAGCGAGTGAATCGAAAAATACAATTTAATGGAATTAAATAACTGATAAAAATCACCAAAATGTCTTTAATGAAAAAAATACACGCAACTATTTGTATCCCAAAACGTTAAGTGACAATTTATTTCGAACTGTCAACAATGTTTCGCCTGAAGTTGGCTGCGAATGTGATATTAGACATAATGTGCGTGTGTTGGTAATGTTCTGTTTGCATGGAAATGCCGCGATAAATGAATTGAATTTCATTCTGGAACTAGAATTTTGAATACTTACCTTTTTTATGTTCATCGATTCCATATCGGATCAACGCACTCGGATTTAAACCAATAACTGTTTCAGTTAATGACTTGTCTGACGTTCTTACGAATGGCTTGGTTCAAGCGATTTTCATAGTTTTAGATTCACTTAACGATTCGATTTTGAATGAAATGGACAAATAAAAATTGTATGCTCCAAATCAAGTTTTATTTGAGTAGACAATGAATAAACAAATGATTTTTTTTTTAAACAAAAACTTAAGGAGAAAAACTGGAGACAATGTCTATGTTATGCGAATATTACAAATCTTATTCGATCATGCACTATATTTACTTATTTTCTCTCATTATTACCTACATAAGCGCTGAAAAAGCGATTTTATCGACAGTTTTTCCAAAATCGGTCGTTTCTTTGCTTCCTATCGCTTTAAAGCGTTTGAACTCTACAAACCTAACAACATTGATTTATTTAAAACAGAGTAATAAAAACATTTAACAAAAGGAAAATATCACAAAAGTTAATCAATCAATTAAATGGACACAAAGTTTTTTGTCTGTAATTTAAACTACAATAACTAATAATTAATCACAAATTAACTTTCTTTTTAACAAAATAAAATAGAGAAACCACTAGCGAAACATTATGAATGCATTATCCAAGTTCAATTTGCTGTTCTTTGGGATTTTTATGTTGTCATTGATTTTTCTTAATTCGTCGGCTTTTCTCTGAGACTTACCAAAAAAATGCCAAATATTCAGCGATTCGTCCTGACCAGCAGTGGCCACTTTCGTTCCAGTCGGATCCCATAAAATGTAGTAGACAGAATCTTGATGGGCTGAAATGTTATCCACTATCCTGTTCATTGAAGCCAAGACCATTATATCGCTGTGTGTTACATCGTTGACTTGATGCGAAAACGATGCAACCAATTCGGCTGATAATGGATTCATCGATATGGCGCATAGCGAGTACTGCAAGTCGGTGCGTCGATAGTGTGCAATTGTTGTCTTTGTTTTCAAATCCAACAGATGAATTGATGCGGGTGACTTATAGCCAATCAACAGATTGGTCTCAATCCACGGATGCCATGCGATGTAATGTGCTTTCCTGTTTTTAAGATAAACTTCGAAATTTGCATTGTTTCGTAATACCGATAAGTTTCCCGTGGAATCGGTAGCCGCGATGAACGTATTATTGATGGAGTACTTGATGTTGCTTATTGTAGATCTGTGGACATCATAGCGGTACACAATTTGCAATTGGGGATACGAGATCACAAACACCAAACCGGATGACATACCGCAAATGATACGCTTCGCCGTTGATTCCCATTCAATGCACCGTATGCTGTCTAATGGCCTTTCCTTTAGTAGAATGCATGCATTTTTTGTGTAAATCGACATTTTATCGCTGATATCCCACAGTTGGAGCAATGAAGTTGTAACACTGTTGTTAACACCAAGGCCCAACAGATTTCCATCTTAAATTATAGTTTTTCCAGTTAAAATTAAATTAGTTTCAATTTTTCCATAACCGAATCTTTTCAAAAACCACCAATTTATGTCTATTTGAAGTGTCACCCTCAGAGACTATCAAAATAAATCACCTGGACTGTACTTGAGCGCTCTGACATGTTTCAATTCGTACAAAACAGTCGATGTTTCTTTGTCAGAGGCGGTCGGTGGACCCCACAGAACCAATGATGAATCAAAACTGGCGGCTATTTGACCTTGACTGCTCCAGTCGATAATATTGTGTCCGTTCATATAATCATCGAATCCGGGCATATCATGCGTTGAATCGTTGTACGACAGTGGTTTAGCGCGTGGTTTACATGGCCAATCTAATGCTTCGGTGCTTTTGCTCGGAATTGAATATTCCGTTTTCAGTGGATTCATATTGAATGTACGATCACAGGCCTGCTGCGTGGTTGCATCAAAAAAATTGAGTAATCGACCACTATCACTTAACCCAAGTTGCATCCCAAGTTGAAGCTGATAATTGTGTAGTCGCCAGTAAAACGGTTTTTTATGAATGACAAAAATGTCATTCTCATTTTCGTCGACCGCTTTTGTTGACAAACTTGGCGTTTGTTTGCGAAAATATCTGCGTGGTATGAAACGATCACCGTACGATATTGGAATGGCTTCGAGTTTTGATTCGCATTTGATAACCTCATTTTCGTATTGTGCACGTTTTTTTACTTGAAATTTACCAACATTGCTCGCTTTGGACACTTTGGTGCCATTGGACTTCTCCGCTGTACGGCCAATACCGTAAAACATTAGACTCATGCTATCGGACATTTTGCGCGCAGACAATCGATAAACTGTGGACAAATGATTGGAGAATATCAAGATAAAACTTTGTTCCGATATTGATTGAGTTTTACGAAAATAATCACGACATTCACAATCAATTGATTGAAAGAAAAAAAAAATCGTTTCACGCATTTGTGGATTGAGATACGCAATAGTATCCATAGTGTTTTTTCAACTTACCGTATGTATATGCTATATCTTATGTGTTGCGCTCTTTGTTTGTGCTGTGAACGGATTGACTTCTGCTCCGTTTGTCAAAAACGTTCAGGCGCCAAAAAAAAAACTGTTGCTATAATAACACAGCATATCACACACACTTGTGCAAAGCATTTTATATTATCTACTGCGTGCGCTCTTAAGTTTTTACTCATCTCTATATCATTGTATGTAATATGCCACCGGCATTTTGCACACTCGCACTTTACTCAGCATCACAATGTAGCTCATCGCACCGTTTAATCACCTTTTGAATGTTTGTGTGAACCGTTGTTTATTGCGATAACCAATCAGAATAAACCACATCAAATGTGATCTGCAACGGGTTGTAACGAATCCATGTGACAAATTGGAAGTTAAGTAAACAATGTTAAGTATTTTCCATGGTTCGTGCAACAAGTATTTGCAGCCAAATTATCGCAATCGATTCGTTGTGACTGATAAAATGTTTATTTTTATTGCTTTCGTTCTACTTTTTAATTATGACTAATTTCTCCATTCAAAACCAATAAATCAATTCAATTGATATTACTCACGCAGGACTAGCATCAATCGCATTCGGAATCATTTTTTTTTGCATTGAAAAGAATCAAACTACATTCGGTTATAATTTTGTGTTTTTATTTAAATAAAACTAAATTACGTTTTTCTCTTTTAAATTTCATCATACAAGCTGATGAAAATATGTGACTTTTTTTTCATTTCAATCCTTAATTAATATGGTATAGATTTTATGTTCATAACAGATGAGAGGGAAGAAAATCCAACGGAATTCAAAAAATAAAAATAAAATAATTTCAAAAAAAAATTGTGATTTTTTTCATTCTTTTTCACATATACAATTGTTGATTGAACATTTCTCGGTCATAAATATAAATAAATGCGGAAGAAATTCGTTAGAAAAAAGTAGTTGAATTTCATTCGAAGTTATCAAAAAATTTTGCATGAAAATATCCATTCAACAATCGATTGTAATCATTTAAGTGAGAACTTTGCTGAATTACATGCAAAGATTTGTTTTTAAAACGAGAATCTTCTTAGATTTTTTTTTCATCAACATAACATAGTTGACTACCAAACTTCACACTTTTTAACTGGATTCATTGGTGAACCTTCCGGACAATTGAAATCACTGGCAAACTCTGGCCGGTTACTGAGTGGTCCGAGCACACGGAATTGTGCTGGAGAATGTACGCCCGTTGTTATTCTCATCTTCATTGATTCTGTTAAAAGTGAATGAACAAAAAATTGCGGAAATCGCATTGAACTCTTATGCATGATGTTGAGAAATCAATTTGAAAAACCAAAATATCTTACCTGGCCGATAGACTGAGCACCAGGTTTGTGCTGCTGAGATCCAGAACATTTGCTGTGGAGTATAATCTAAGCCGGGTAATCTTGGTTCAGGGCCATTTTCTTCTTCCCATTTTTGATAAGCGAGGTATGACTCCTTGATGCCTCCATTGTCAGCTATGTTCTCTCCTTGAGTGTTTATACCGTTCAACTGAAGCGACGAAATAAAAAGTTATCATTTCAATGAAAACAATTGCAATAGCTAAGTATATCGTACATACTTTTAAGCCAGTTGAAGGTTCAGTATAATTTCCGTACTGTTCAATGATGCACTTAGCCTTTTCCAAGTAGTGTTCTTTGGTTGTTTCCTTCCACCAATCAATTAGATTGCCATTGAGATCGAATTGACGGCCTTGATCATCGAATCCTAGAAAATGGATCAAAGTGAGCGGTTAGTCAAAGTGAAACGATGTTAAAAATGAAGTTGACACCCCCCAATAAGGAAGTGGTTGAATTAAAAATACGCACCGTGCGTAATTTCATGGCCAATTACGAAGCCAATTGCTCCAAAGTTCAGATAACGTGGTCCTATCGTATGAAAATAGATTGATATAGATATGCAAAAAAATGAAATACAAACGCATTGAATAGAACTTACTGTCGGCTGAAAAGAATTGCCCTTGTAGAATACCTGCTGGGAACTCTGTAAATAGAATTTATTATTAAAATCTATTGATATTTTGATAAAAGCAAAGTATCACAGAGATGAGATTTCTTACGAATGCTATTTTCGATAGACGAATAGAAAGCATTTACAACGGCTGGACGTGCATGAGTGATCCAATCAGTTTTGTTAACCGGCTTGCGAAGTTTGTTGAATGCATAATCCGTACCGAACACGTTCATATTCAAAACAGACGAGAGATAGTTATTTTCATCGATTTCCAAGTTTTCGTAGTATTTTTCAATTTTAGCATTGTCCATAATCTCATCTGGGTAGCCAATATGTGTAGACATGGCTTTTAATTTGTTGAGTGCTGATTTGCGTGTTTCATCGTCCATCCAGTTGACTTCGTTCAATAGGAGCTCGAACTCTTTGCGGATTCCATTGACCATTTCCAGTGCGGCAGCTTTTGAATCTTGTCGGAAGTATTTTCGCACATAAAGCGCACCAACGGCTATTGACAAACTACAATTTGGAAGGAAAAAAGAAATCGAACATCGAAAATTAACGCTATTCTAAACTAGAACGAAAAGTTGATCGCATTACCTTCCACTGGCGATATCAATGCATTCTTTCCATCTTGCCTCTTGCTCTTGTTTACCGCTGACGGCTGTGCTATACAACAATTGCCGTTTGCGTAATTCATTAGTCAGGAAGAATGACGAAAAGGCTGTAACGCGCCACATCATATAGTTCGCAATGGTACGCTTCGGTGTGTCTTGCAACAATTGTCCCAAACTTTCGAAATAAGACGGCACACTAACCACAATAACCTCATTCTCGTCGACTGACAATGACGGTGGTAATAAGGCGTTTATGTATTCAACCCATTGAATGAATGGGTACATCTGCTGCACTTGTTTCAATGTATATGGATTGTAGAGTGCTGTGGCGTTTCTTCGCTTTTCATTCGGCAGGGAAATCTATGCGACCGAAGAAGAGTTTTTTATGTCATTCAGTTGGTATATAGCATATTTTCTAATTTTTCTATCTTCTCTCGTGTGCACGGATAAAAGTGTGCGACAACTTACATTGGCCAATTTCATTTCAAACTGAAGTGATTCCATGAGCTCTCGTTCGGCACGGTTGCGATCGGCACCATATATAACGGCAATATCAACCATGTATTCATAGTATGCCTTAACGATTTTGTCTTCCAATCCTTTGCTCAAATATTCTCGACTCAAACCGAGCGCAGCCTGATCGATCTGAAATACAAATGGTGCGCTTGTGCTAATTTATTGTGGTAAAGTCTTGAAACTTGCATTTGTTTCTTGTTGAATGAGCGAGCATTTATAGACGTTTATTGAATTAGCAAGTAAACTCATTTGACCCAATTCGCAAACAACTCCCATTGTTTATTGACATGGATTCAACGATGCCGATTCATTTCTCTTCTATTTTGCATTTTCAGGAAGATGTTCCGATATTGACAAACGTCTAGAGATCACGTTTTCTTATATATTTTTTTCTCTCGCATAGTTAGTACTTCTTGAACGGAGTGTGCCCAAAATTAACGCTAAGACTCGAGCAGAAAGAGTTGTTTTGATGTTTCATTAGCAACTTTTACATTTTGCTGGTGTTCTCGAGTCGTTTTTTCGTCACAATTTGTTGTTTATTCAATATTACGCATCAAAACAACACAACACATTCGGGTTTGCGATACGAATAGGACATGTCAAACAATCGCTTCTATTGTACTCAACCATACTATCAATTGATAAAAAGTTGATTGGAGCGCGGAATAATGAAATGACATCCAAATCTGTGACAAATCTAATCAATAAGCTACAACAAGAAGAATACATCCCTTTTGAAACACAGAAAAAAACTTACGTCAATAATTCGAGCTGTCGATTTTTTCAAATCAATTCCAATGGAAAAATCGAAAATATAGTCCATGCTGTATCCAACTTTACGGAATTCTTTAACAGCCCATGTCCAGCTCCATTCAGATTTTGTATCCCATTCATCACCTTTAACAACCGGCCATCCACCGAGTTGGTCTGTGATATCGAACAATGGTTTCAATCCTCGGTCCTCAATCAATGTTTTATTCATGCAGGCTTTGTACAGCTTCTTAGCCATATTAAATGGTGCCGAATCGTTTGGATCGATTTTGTCACCAATCAATGAACGCAACTGTTCCTGAAGTTTATCGCCAATTATTGAAAACGTGTTGACCGATACCTTTTCATCAGGTATTAAGGTTTCTTTCACAAAATTGCCGCATGCGAAATTGTAGAAGTCATCACAGGGCTCAACCGTTTCATCCAACTGATCGAGAACACGTGACGCAGCATGAATGCATCCAGGTGTTAGACATACATCATCATATTCATTCTTTTTCGTTTTGTTAACGGTTGGTAATGCGTTTTGATTGATATGAAGACCAGGCGGACTCTGAAGCGCTTCGGCGGCCGCTTTTTTTACCTGAGCTACAATTTATGATACACAACAACAACAACAACAAAAACCAAAGACAGTGGAAAATTTTGTATGAATTTGTGTCACATGTTTATGAATTCAAAGAAAAATTAAATACTTACTTTCACATTCTTTTTTCTTAACAAGAACGCCAGAAAGTGATAAGACTAGAGCTATTATGCCAATTAGTGATAGTATACTAATTATGATTAATGATTTTTCTAAAGCCGTACGCCGAGGCCACCAATTCGGATTCCTAAAAAGAAATAACAATTCTATTAGATTTCCACTACTAAATGCGTTGTCCATAAACCACATTTGTTGGTTTGATATTTAAAAATAAAATTCGTATTTAATCGCTTAAACAACTATCAAATAATCAACTAATCGATAGGATTTTTTTCGTGTCATTTTCACACAAATATAACTATAAAAAATCAATCGCAGTTTTTCTGTTTGTTCTATGGATGAATAAATCTTTATTCAGACCATTCGTTTCATCGCAGAAAGAAAATCGTTTAGGCAAATGAGACCGCATTCAATAACAAGCGCATCGCTCACAAACGATGATATGCAGAAGCGTGTCACATATATCAGACTCGTTAATAACTGGTTTCAATGAATGAAGAAAAAAAAGCAGCGTGAAAATTGACTATGAATCAATAATGCGTTCAGTCTACAAAATTAAAGTGATTCAACCTCAAGTGTCTATCGTTAAGTGAATGCACTGTCAACAGTGCATTCTTCAATCGGAAGAAGAAACAAACTAAAGAAGAAAAGAAAATATAGCTAAATTTTATTGAGAGAAAGAAAAAAAAGAGATGTGGCAGTGTCAATGACCGATTAAGCATCAATGATAATACTTGGCCGTTTCATTCAAGTTTTTTTTTCTTCTCTCTGTTTCATCACCCATTTCTGTTGCATCTCAGTATATCTTTCGTTGTGTAATTTTCATTTCGAAAATAATAAAAAGAAATGTTCAATTTTCGTTTTCGTAAATGTTTCTTTAAATTCATTTATCAGCCGGTAAATTGGATAATACACTTCACATCACTTTCGTAATCGAATTTTACAATCTTTACTTTCAGTCTAAAAGTGGCCCGTTTTTTTCTTTTCTGCCGAGAATGTTTTCGCTCAAGAGCGCACTCAGCCTCAGAATATGAAATGAACATAAATGACAAATCAACGGTTATAACAATAAAAAAGGTTACATTATCACAAAATACTCTGCAATTGTGTCCAAACAAAATACGTATATCTGCTAATTGAATCACAGATTACAATAACAACAATAAAAAAAAAAACAACACAACAAAAACATATTGAATTTCATCGAATGATTAACGTAATTGCATGAGTGAATTATCCAAATTTAAAAGACTGCACACTGGTTTTGTCTTGTTATCTTGAATTTTCTTCAATTCGTCGGCTTTTTGTTGAGATTTACCAAAAAAGCTCCAAATATTCAGTGATTCATCCTGTCCGATTGTGGCGACTTTCGTTCCAGTCGGATCCCATAAAATGTAGTAGACGTCATCTTGATGGGCTGAAATGTTATCGACTACGCGATTCATCGATCCCATAACGATGATGTCGCTACGACGGCGAGTTGTGCCGTTCACTTGATGCGAAAACGATGCAACCAATTCGGCTGATAACGGGTTGATTGACATGGCGCATAGCGAATACTGTGAATCGGTGCGTCGATAGTGTGCAATCGTTGTTTTTGATTTCAAATCCAACAGGTGAATCGATGCGGGTGATTTGCAGCCAATCAACAGATCGGTCTCAATCCACGGATGCCATGCAATACAGTGGACATTTTTTTGATTGAGAAATAGGCCATAGTTGCTATTGTTGTGTAGAATCGATAGATTTCCGTCAATGTCATTTATCGCAATGTATGTGTTGTGAACGGAGTATTTGATGTTACTTATCGCTGTTTTGTGGTTGTTCAAACGATGCACAGGCTCCATTTCTGGATACAAATTCATATGCACAATACCTGTTGACATGCCACAAACGATGAATTTTTCTGTAGATTCCCATTCGATGCAACTGATTGACTCTGTGGATGGTTCATTTGGAAATCGGCATGCCGAACCCTGTGCCGTCAACTTAAAGCCAGTCAGTTGAGCAACTTGCAGTATGGATGTTGCATTCTTTTTCAAAGCTATTGCCAATAAATGTCCCGTTGGACTGAATTTTAGGGCATGTAAATTCTTCAAATCGAATGCGATGGGATTGCTCTCTTTGTCATGTGTTGGTGGACTCCAAATGACCAACGATGAATCAAAACCAGCTGCAATTTGGCCTTGGCTGCTCCAATCGACAATATTTTCACCATTTACGTACTCATCAAAGCCAGGCATGTCGTGTGTTGATTCACTGTATGACAATGGCTTCAATCGTGGCATACACGACCAATCCAGTTCTTCAACGTTTCGATTTGGCACTTTGAACTCTGTCGTAGTTGGACGCTGATTGAATGATCGATCACAAATTTGTTGTGTTGTCGTATCGTGAAAATTCAATACTTTCCCGTCAGCATTCGCATTCAGCTGCATTCCAATGTTGATGCGATAATTGTGTCGACGCCAGTAGAACGGTTGTTCTTTGACACAAACTATATCGTGTTCATTTTCATCGAAACTTAGCGATAAACTGTTGAATAGGCGTGCATTGTATTGACGTCGTGGAATGAATCGATCTCCGTACGAAATGGGCACTCTTTCAACTTTTGATTCACAGCCTAACACTTCATTTTCGTATTGAATACGCTTTTTTACCTCAAATCTTCCGATATTGTTAGCTCTGTGAACATTACGTGGCTTCGTCTTGTCTCGCCGATGAAAAATGACTGACATCATATTTGTGTGCGTTGTGTACACAGCCTGGCGCGTGCAAATACACCAAATTTTCTCTCTCTCGCACAAATATTGAATTCCTACAAATCAAGCGAGTTATAATTGGGCAAAGCAAACACCAAGCGAAAACAATAGTAATGTTTTTGTGGTCAATTACCTTGTTTTATTGAGTGAAAATTGATTATTTTATTTATTTTTATTGCATCGAGATGATGATGATGATGATTTATTGAGAATCGCACGGCATGTGAGGCGCACAGCAAAAAATTCGAAATGGCAAAAGTATCTTTTAATTGCAACTTTTGACGCTCACTGGTGCAAAGCGCACACACAAACACACAGCATCTTTGCTTCGGTGTAGTTCGTAATTGGTTCAATACAATGGCATGACGTTTGCAAATGTATTGGCGAGACTCGATTGTTATTGTCTGTTTCACTTTGCCATTTGAACAACAACAACAACATCAGCAGTAGCAGCAGTAGCCGGTATTTCATATGCGCTGTTGACGACAAATACAAAGACGGTATTGTTCGTTTCGTTACATGTACATTTATTTCATCTATGAAATATTCGTATGAAACGTGCCATTCGGTAACATTCGACGAATACAGCACGTGAGCAACGTAATAACGAGAAATCTCGACAAAATATTCCGAAATTGATTTCTCTATCGTCAGTGATAATATTTGATTTCGATTGGTCGAGAACAGGAAATCGATTAGGTTTTTTGAATTCATCTTTACGGTTTGTTTTCCTCTCTCGCAACCGCATCTCATATGACGCTATCACAAACAAAACATTTCTATGAAATAGACTTCAAAGTGAAAATTATATAAACCAGATAAAGCACCCACCGAAACAGTGACGTACTGTGTTCGTCCAACTGACCATGTCACCTGTCACCTGTCACATCATTTTGATCTTCGTTAGCGATGTATACTCATTTTGAATACGAAATTTGCTGATTGATTTTCATTGGAAAAAATATTTTGATTTTTTAATAATTATGCATGCCATCGGAACGATCCGGTGCTTTCCCTTTTAATAAACAAAAAACGAAACCTATTCATACGATGTTCATATTCGAAATCGAAAAAAAATGCTGATAAATCGGCGTTATGAAACGCATATTTGTGATATGTCATCAACGGACCGTGAAAATACAGCAGCCCCAGCCAAAACATCTTATTGTAGCCAAACGAAGTACAAACACGTTTAAATGTTACTTATTGTGTGTTTCAATGGCACTGAAAATAATTGCTGTCGACGAACAAGCTCAAAACATCTTCACATGCAGCGTGTATGACAATAGCACCTTGTTTATAGCAAACAATGTACTTTTTACGTTTAATGAATTTCGATAAAATTAAACCGTTTTTATAGCGTGGCTGGAAATGTTTGTATTGCATAAATTATTATTTAAAAAAAAAAAACAGAAGCAAAAAAATAATTCAACACATGAAGTTTGACGCACAACGAAATTCTCGCCTTTCCTGTTGTGAAGCCGATAGTGTCTACATGCAAATTTCTATTTTACTATCACTTTGTCCAAGTTTATTGGGTCATTTGCTGGCTTTAATTGCATTTTTGCATTTGTTAATCCAATTTGATTATAAGTTTATGGGTCGGTTTTGATGAAAATTACCCACCATAAACATTGGAATTGCAGAAAACAAATCAGATTTTATCAGCTATCGAATAAATGTTGTGCTAATAAAGAAAATTGCGAGATTCCGTTACTCTGGCCATAAAACATATAAAAAATATCATGAATATTCACAATCGATTTTCAAAATGACGCATTAGAATCTGGGAGAGTAGAAGAAGACACAAACACACGCACAAGACGGCACAAGGCGATATGTGTTGAGTCTCAATGCTATTATTTGTTGGCGATGAAGACAATCCTCTCTCTGCTTCAATATGTTCTGTGGACAAATTGATTAGTGGCATTGCTTTCATAAATCAAATCGCACAATTACGTTATGAATACCGATTGGGAGTGGTAATCATCCCATATTAATAGGATATTAGCAGCAAAACAAAAGGCAAAAGCAATAACCAAAAACTATCATCATTCATCGCATTTGGCGAATGACAATGTGATACAAGTAAATTAAGACATATCGCGCTATTGACGCGCATTTTCATGAATTAGAAAACAAGAAATTAAGACGAGGTGTGCTAAATGGCCATCGCATATATGCGTTCTTATAAGAACCTTGAACTCGAACATGGCAACAATTTGCCGGTATATTTACATCGGCAAAAAAGCCGCATCAACCCAATCAACCAGTTTCATTATCAATTAGCTAATTCCCAATGGCACAAAAGATCCACTTGCATTGGCCCCAGCTTTGCCGATATTTGTTTCCCATTTCCGATTTT